GTTAAAATTTTATTATAAAAATTAATTTTTTAAAAAAAGATGCAGACAAATTTGCATGCAATACAATTTAAGGGATAGAAGAACTATAAACAAGTTTTCAACATATTCACTAGAAATTCAAGAATACCTGCTAACTGAATACCATTACTATATTTTTCATTTGGTTTTTGACAGAAGTTTTTATAAGAAGTGAGAATTTAACATACCTTTTATGAAAGATCTACAGAAATTGTTCATTTTGGGAATAGGAGAATTATCTTTTTTCTGGAATTAGAAGTAGCTCTAATCAGAGTAAAAGGGTCAGCTATAGAACTGGTAAAGAAGAAATTAAACACTGACATCTCTATCATTGAATAACATTTACATATAGTATAGACCTATTTCTAGAATAGAGAATAGAAGTAGCAGTATTATATAATTTTTACAATTAGTTTTGGCTGAGGCTTTGGCCCTCTTTTTGTTTTTTCTTTTTCTTATTATTACATGTTTGTTTTGCTGTTTTGTTTTAATTTGGATTTTGTTTGTTTACTTTTGGTTTTTTTTAGTCATATTTTTATTTGTATTCAATTTTATAATATCTCTCTTTTTTCGACCCTTTGAGAAGAAGGAAGAATTTAAAAGAAAGATTAAAGACAGTTAATGCTTGTTCTGGAAAAGAGAAATCCTTTCTGGTATGACTTTAAGTAGCCAGATAAGCAGTCTACCTTTAACTGATGTAGTATAGCAGGTCATGCTTAGGTACCAATAAGGTGGCTGGGTGATGCTGGACTTAGTTATTAGAAAAATTCTATGTAATTATTGTATATAGTTGCAAGAATCTTAATAAAATACTAGCATGACTACTTAAGAGCAAAAAAAAAAAAAAAAAAAAAAACATCTTGAAATAAATTGTCTAAATAAAAAAGCATACATACACCTTAACAACTAACATAAATATAAATTAAAAAAAAAAAATAAGCATAATTCACCTTAATGACTAATATAAAAATAGATCTAAAAAAAAATAAGCATATATAGATTCTGGCAGCTAACATAAAAATTGAAACTAAAAAAAAAAAAAAGCATATATTTACTTTGATAACTAACACAAAAGTTAACTGGAAAAAAAACAAGAGTATGTTCATCTTGGCAACTAATCAAAAAAAAAAATAAATAAATAAACATACATATACCTTGACAGCTAATACAGAAATAGAATCAAAAAAATAAGAATATGTACATTCTAATGATTAACATTATAAAAATTAAATCCAAAAAAAAAAAAATAAGACACAAAAAAGAATAAAAATAAATAAATAAAAATAAATAAGTGTACATTTATCTTGATGACCAATACAACAATAAAACCAAAATAATAAGCCTACATGCATCCTGATGTCTAATACAAAAATTGAACCTAAAAAAAAATAATAAGCATATATACACCCATTTTGAAGACTAACACAAAAATAGAACTAAAAAAAAATAAGCACATTCACCTTGATAGCTAACACAAGATAGATCCAAAAAATAAATAAATAAAAAAACTTATATACATCTTGATGGCTAACAATACAAAAATAGATCCAAAAAAAGAAAAAAAAAGCATACATATTCTAATGATTAATATTATAAAATTGAACTCCCCAAAAAATAAGCATACATACACCTTGATGACTAACACAAAAGTGGATCTAAAAAAAAGCATATATTCACTTCGACAACTAAAAAAAAAAAATAAATATACATATACCTTGACAGCTAACACAAAAATAGACCCCAAAAAAATAAGTGTACATATATCTTAACAGCTAACACAATTTATATTACAAAAATAGAACCTATAAACTAAGTTGTGATTGTTATACCAATCAAGATTGTCATGTTATCATATCCAATAGGTTTCAAATTGTCTTAGACAATTCTAAAAAAAAATTGAAAAAAACCTATTGCACATAGTAATATACCAACTCTGAGCAATTTGTAGATCATAAATTTTGTTGAGTCTAGTGTAGTTATGTTGCATTTCATATTAAACATTGCATATATATGATCAAAATAGATAACTCAATATCTTATTTATTGATATAACAATAAGTATTTTTTAAACTAAGCATTTCAGTTTACTCTTTATGTATATGTATTTCTAATTAACTAATATATTTTTTTTTACAGCTATGAGCATTATGACTGACATCTTTGCAATAGCTACATATATATTTTTCATTCTTTTTTTGTACTAAATTATAACTATGCTAAGAAGATTCACCTAAATTACTATTTTGTCTTAAAACTCAGATTGCCTTTTCAAGTTGCTTATCAGAATCCAATTTATCTTTTCTATTTAAATAAAAAAATTAATAAAGAGTAACTATAATAATAAATATAAAAGCTGAATTTACTTACTTATAATTAGTATTTTATAAATCCTTAGTAGTAGTACAGCACTTAACTTTACTAACATATACTGGCTTATCAGTTTTTTTATTATAGCATTTAGAAGTCTTATTTTCTAGCATGCTTTTTATACATTTTTTAGGAGCATCTTTTGTTTGCATTAAATAAGAATTACTAATATCTGGTAGGTTTTCCTTATTGAACTCATTTATATTATTATAAATTTTCTCTTTCTTTTTGATCCAATCTTGCAGTATTTTGTTTAGTTCATTTTCATAACTAATTTCAAGTGATAAGTTAACTGCCTTCTTTGTGTACTCAAATTCCTTATTGTATTTTACCTAACAAGACAAATTTTGCTTAACAGTCTTTGAGAATATTTGCATATGACAAATCTCATTAAAGAAATAGAAATTTACTTCAATTTGGTGTTCAAATCTGAATTCATTACTATCTTCATTGCTAAAAATAGTAATTGCAGCTTCTTTTTAGAAATCATAAGTTAATTCTTTGTATTATTAATTAGGAATAAGACCAATATGAAACATGGCTTTATCTGAGTTAAGCATTACTAAAAAAAAGTGCCAACAAACTAACCCTTTTGTTACAAGGTTCATATATGTACATAAGTGATTAGCAGTTCCATAAACTATTACAAAATAAGTTTTATTTTGTTCAATAGTTGTAACACACCAAACTTCATAAAAGCTAGTTCGATCAATATATTTAATTAAAAAATTCAAGTTTGATATAATAGATTCATAATAATCCTCAGCAAATTTAATATTAATATTGCTTGTTACTTCTATCAGATCCATATCGTTGATATCATCATCAGATTCTTCTTGGCTTTCATTATTCATTTTTAGAACATTTATTTTCTCATCAAAATTGAGTACCTTAATTAATTTTTTTTTTTTTTTAGAAATATTGTATAAACTTTATTATAAATGATCATATTAATACTTTTAATATGCATCTTATAACTAAGTAGAATTTCCCAATTTTTGATTTTTTTAGCATGATAAAGCAAACTTTCATTCATTTGGTAATGTTGTAATTTTAATATTTTTAATGTAAGATACTTTTTGAGAGTTTCATTAATTCTTTTAAAGTATCTATTAATAATATTAGGTAAGCCAACAGTCAGATTTTGATTATTTTGTTCTTCTAGTTATTTATATTTTTCTTTCTTATCGAGCTGTAATTGAATATAAATATCCAATTCATATAATATTATTGAAGTCTTAACTGATCATTTAATTAATAAGTTATAATTTTCAACATGCTGTATTGATTGAATTTCAGCATTGAATGACTAATGGGTATAACATAATGCCCAACTAGTTACATCAGCACCAAGCACATGACCAAGATATTTTTTAGCTTCTGGATAGCTGATAAGTAAACCATGCTATTGTTTTTTAAATTCATTTTCCAAAAAACTGTTTCTATATTTATTCTACACTGTTATAAAATCAGAATATTTGTCACAAGTTTTTCTTTTAAATTTTTCTTAAGATTTTTGCATATATGTCAAACACAGTAGTTATATTTTGTTAAAGGAAGGGTTTCATAAATAGCTGCAATCATGCCAGGATCAGCATCTGTGAACAGTACCTTCAGAACAAGACCATTAGTGGCATATAATAGACATCTTAAAATCTATTGGTATGTTTCTTTCATTTTATTTAACATGACTGTTGTTACAGCTATTCGAGATTTTGCATAATTGTTTACAACAATGGTAAGAGATAAATACATATGATACCTATTTGTATGTGCTGTGTTGTCATTAATTGTGATATTATGAAATCTTTACCACAAATCAATTTGGGACAGTCTCATCCAAAATAGCCCAGTTAAATGATTGTCTTTTTCTTCCAATCATGCCTCAACAAACCAACCATGTTCTTTACATTGCAACTGCATTAATTTTTTATATGTTTTAGCAGCATCAGTCTTTATGAATTTGTTTTTACATCTAAAAAGATTGATTGCATTATATACATTTTTAGGACAGATCATAGTATTGGGAAAACATCTTTGAAATCCACAAATGATTGGACCTGCACTACAACCAATGTTTACAAGAAATTCAACCTCTTCAAGCATTTTTGGGCTGAGATGATGAAATTTTGACTCTATATTCCTTATGTCTTTATGTAGTGAATAGTTGTGCTTCTTGTATATTAAAGTAACACATATAATGCCTTTAGTAAAGTAAAGGTTAACTCTCTATGAATAGCCTATTCTTATACTTTTATATTCTTGATGATCTTCTGTATCTGCTTTTTTTTTGCATAATATTTATCTAATTTTTTGCATTCAAACATACAGCATACAATTTCATTATGCTTGTTTTTTTGAAGCTGACATTTTATAACTTTGTACTCATTTTCCATCACATGCTTTTCAATGTATTCTATAGCCAGATACCAGTTTTTAAAGGTGCATCCTAATAAAATATTAAACATTAATAATATAGCAACAAGTAATACATTTTAACTAATATAAATATAAACCTATTTCTAGAACAAACATTTTACAACTAACTACATTTTTATTACTTACATCCATATCCATATTCGCATCTATATTCATATCTATATTCATATCCATATTTGCATTTAATAAATTTACTTCATATTCTTTTTGTATGCTATTAACATTAGCTTCTTTTTTCTCTTTTGAAGTGTAAACTTTCAAAAAAGATCATTTGCATACACTTTTGTTTATTTTATTTTATTTTTTATATTATATTCTTATTATATTAATCTTATTATTTTACAGATTCTTATCTTAATTCTTATTATTCTTTTTATTTTTTTTATTTTTATTTATTTTTTTTTTTTTAACAAGTCCTTATGTTACAGTATTATTATTTTAATGTTATTACTTAATGTTTTATTCTTATTTAATATTACCTTTTTTTTAGCACAAGAAAAAAAATATATTACTTGCACTTAAAGCCTCTAATTCTTCTAATTCCTTCACATGCCATCTCTTAAACTTTAATAACACTTAATTAATACTGATAAACTTCTTTAACTCTTCACTAAACTAATAACTTATTTAAAATCTACAATAATAATCTTTCTTTAATCCTTATATACTATATGTAAAATATATTAAAAAAAAAGATCAATCTTATTTCTCTTTATTTATATATTCACATATGTCATAGATGCAATATATATATTATGATATAGATTAGATCTAAAGTTTGGTCATACATCGATAATTTTAAAGACCAATTGTAATATAATAATCCAAACAAAATGATGTGAATGTTTTAAAATAATAATGATAAACTATAAGGTTAGAAGAGTGTATGTAGTACTAGTTAAGTATTTAGCAAAAAATATTAACTTAAATATGTTTGGTCTTCACAATACATAAAAAAAAAAATTATGTTAATAAAAATTTTTATTTGTTATTCAATAAAAATAATATTATTGGTTAATAATCATATAATTACTAAGTTTTAGTTAAGATAATAATCATTTGTAATAAGTAATAATTACCTGCAGTGATTATCATCTGCAATGATGTTTAGCAAAACTCAAATATTTATTAAAATAGTTTTCTGATTCTGCTATTTTTTTATTTAACAGCTGGTCTGCTTCAAGCAAGCAGGAAACTATTGGCTAATGCTGCTTCTCATTTATTTTACTATTATAATAATATCTGGTACAATCCCACTTGCTAATTTTTTGAAAGCATATCATTATTTCAGTTTTAATTATTTAGCTAAAATTATTTATAATATATTCTGCAAACTTCAGATTCTTTAATTGGATTTATTTTTAACATCTTTGGCTAGCTGGCATTCATTTAGTATATAATTAGTCATATTTATGCTTTTTAATACAACAACAAATAAACATAAATATAAATAAAAATATTTAGAAATTAGTTATATTAAATTACAGAAATATTTCTTTATTATTACAATAAACAAAAATTTTAATCTATTTAGGTCAAACAAGCTAAAAAAAAGATTTTAATATTTTGATCAAAGATAAGCATTTTTGGTATAAAATAAGTAAACTTAGATTTGATCTATATATATTAGCTTAAAATATTTTACTGTATTTAATTAGAATATTATTATTAAACCAATTTAACTACTTTAATATTTTAATGCATATAAAAGAATAGCAATCCTAGTGTAGTAGTCCTCTAAGCAGTAGGTCCAGAGTTTAAATCTTACTAGCAGTAAAAAAATTTAAAAAATAGTTCTATTCTGGCAACTTGTAATTCTATAATTCTAGTTATATCAAAACTAACTTTGAGAGTATGCAATATCACATAAATAAATTCAAAAAGTATATATAGTTAAACCTTATTATAGTCACTCTTAATATACTTACAATCTTGATATAGTCATTCTGATTTTTGTTTTTAGCTTATATAAAATATATAAATTTTAACTTTTATATAGTTACAACTTTTTATAATCACAAATTTTTTGTTTTCTGATCTGGTGATTATATCAAGATCTAATTGTACTTTATAAAAAGCCTTTTTGAAATTTTTGAGTAGAAAGGTAGTATGATCTTCAATATTATTATCTGTAAAAATTCCAATCTGAAGATGAAAACCTGGAACAAATGACCTGTATGAGCAAGAATCTTAAATAAAGAAGTCTATCAACCTGGCTATCAGTTGAACCAAATATGAAGTTGCATCATATAAAACTAACTGGATTAGTAATATAGAAGAACTTGCAAGGGCATACAAGGTACTGGTAAGGTTGTAAAGAGGAGTACTGGTGTTGTATAAACTCTATAGAGTGTAGTAGTTTAAGAATTATCCTGATTACAAGTGTTGGTCTTGGCTATAATAATAATAGGTTAGCTAGAAATTGAATAACAGAAGGCTTTGTTAGATTTAGTACAAGGTTAAAAATTTATCATATAAATGAACTGCTTTAAAGACTTAGTGATTATGATAAATATATATCAGTAAAAACTAGAATAGTTGATAGAATAGGTAGGTGAGTGAATACAGAAACCTGAATGTTTAAATAGAGAACCCACAAGTGGGTTTTAAATAAGCAACTAGTATAGAATTTCTGGATAGACTATTTAAATTAGACAATAACTAAAATTGTACAAATAGCTAGTTGTATACTCTTTCTATAATGCCTTCTGTAACTGTTGTAATAATACAATTACAAAACTAAAACATATTATTAATAAAAATCTAAGTTGCAAGTACTTACTTTTAATATAAAAAAAAAAAAATTTCAATGTATATATATATATAATATATATGTTGTAAGTAAGAACAAAATTTAGATTTATATAAAATAATCTTATTCTAAAATTATAATTTTATAAAAAAAATTTTAAATTTATCAAATTCTGTTTTTATTTACAATATATATATATAGTTTAAATATTTTTGGTATTAAGTTTTTGCAATTCATATTCACTAATATAGCAATATAGATAATTATTTTTTAATTTTGTAAATTATATAGTATGTTATATGATATATATTATTTTTATTAATATATTAATAAATGTAATAAAACAAGGCTTGTATAGAAGGAAAATAACTGGATTCAAAGCTATTATTAGCTATTACCTTTACTTTGGACCTTATATTAGGTTTTTAAAATCTATTTTTATATTATAAAAGTTTAATTCTAGTTTCTAATATTTGTTTACTTTTTATATCTATTATGTTCAGAATGTTTATATTTAATATTTGTTTCTTTATCACATATTTTGTTTTTCTATTGTCTTTAATAATTTTCATTTTGTAATTAATCTCTATATAGTTTATATCAATTAATGTACTTAATATAGAAGTGTAAAAGAGGGTGTGGCGACCTAGTGAAGTGGTCAGG